CGAGTTACGCCACCTTAAACATAATTTCAGTCGTGTCTCTGTATACATGCTTTGTTTTGTTTGATGTTTCACAATTGGCTCAGCAATATTCCAGCTGTATGACGACAGTCTGTAAATAATCGAGCCTGGACCGGACAATCCAGTGATTGATATCATGGGCGTCTATGTATCAACCAAGTAAGCGATCGTGACCACCGGGTGGCCTCTTATGACAAGAATGGGTTACTGAGGATCAATTTCAACCCGGATCTTCACAGGTACAGCGTATTAAGTAGAATGTTATTGGAAAGTCTGAAGTGAGGTAGATCTTCAGCACGCACGAGCACAAGTGAAGTGCAGAATCAGATCAATCATTGGTTTCAGAGAACAATTTGAATAACACTGATGTTTTTAATGTTGAAGAGAATATTCATCTTGCCTTCGTTGTAACAAAAATGTCCTCCCTCCTCAGTTTCCCGGCTTTGAAGTATTCCTGGAGCACCTCCCCAATGAAAGCCTCGTTCTGGTATGCGTAGGCTGTGTCAATGTGTCTGTAGCCAGCGTCCAGTGCCGCACGGATAGTGTCCTTGCACTCCTCGGGAGATGTAACCTGTGAAAAACAGGGATCAGTAAACGCTTGGTTTCATCAGTGACAGAGGCAGACATACAATGTGATACCAGGGTCCATAATCAAAGCGAATCTATACTACCCACCAAAAGTTTAGACTCACTTAAAGTACTCACTATATGTTATGTATATATATGTGGTTACATCGAAGATGAATTTCTCCACTAACTTAGGGGAACCAACTGCAAACCTTATGCAGATGAATTGCTCGAGGATCATGCATCATATTGGTGAAAAGCATGTGCAAATATCGTGCATGTGAACAGCTGCGTTTTGGTGTAAAGTTTTGTTAAGAATTCGCTAATTTTCATCATTTATTGAATTCATGACAATAATCTTTTCAACGTTACAAATTTGTAAACAGTACCTTTAAACAGTATGAAATATTTGGCAAAATCTAGTTCATAACCGTTGACTGAAGTAAGTGGCTACATTTACACTAGTGAGTCTAAAGTGTTGGTGGGTAGTATAGGATCCAAACCCAGTCAAGCATAACAAAAAAGCCATTTATTGAGTCATGTGGCTTTAGACAATGTCTCCGTACATTGTTGAGTCACATACCGTTACGGAAATCCAGAGTGTTTCACATGCTGTTGTCTTTACGTACCAGCCGCCAATGGGTCAATCAACTGGATCGTGTCTGTATTCGCAATCCAACGTCAATTGCCCCGAACTACGTCATTGTCTCTTCGTCCGTCAATTGTTTTCTCTTCGTCTGTCCATAATTGTTCATTAATATACTGTTAGTGAGTTCGGTATTCTAACTACATCTGTATGTACAGCCTTATACAATAGATTGGTTGGCCGCACTCAGCAGAATTCCATCTATATGGCGTCGGTCTGTAAAACTAATAATCGAGTCTTGACCAGACAGTTCACTGATCAACAGCATGAACATCTACCTAAGCAACTGGAATACGATGACATGTGTCAACCAAGTCACCTAGTCAGACCACCCGATCACGTTAGTCGCCCCTTACGACAAGCATGGGTAACTGAAGACCGATTCTAACCCCCACCCTCTCTCGTTTTAATATATCCAATTATCATATAACCTACAGACCAACGTATTCTTTGTTTTCATTCTGTATATATCCCCAGCCGACACCGCGTTGACACAATCAATACTGTATGGAAGCCCGCTGATAAATACTGGCTCAAGCATGTCATATATATATTCTCTTTACAGTACCTGTTATGAAGGTTCTCATATATCACCGACACTGTTATAAGCTAATTCAGAAAGACTGAGTAGGAGACTCTTCACCGTTAGTAGTTATCACCGGGTAGAATATAATGAATATAATGTGGTATGGGGTTTTTTATATTGAGTGATCATCGTTCTCTCTCTAATGCCCCACTGGGTGATATTCCATGTCATTGCAGCGATGTGCTTCGTCTGTCAACATGTTGTCCCAGGGTGAGTTGGTAGCAAGTCAACGTACGGTTGCTTGAGCGAGTGAGTGAGTGAGCTGCATATCGTCAAGTAGTTCTGGACGAGTTCACATGCTCTCTCTCTCTCTCTCTCTCTCTCTCTCTCTCTCTCTCTCTCTCTCTCTCTCTCTCTCTCTCTCTCTCTCTCTCTCTCTCTCATTATTAAACATAGGCGGATCCAGAAGGGGTGTGTGGGTGGGGGTGGGGGTGTGCAGGCGTGCGCACCCCCTTATGTTTAAAGTTAAATGACAATTGAAACTCGGGTGAAAATGAAGTGTGAACCCCTCCTTTTCGCATTAGTGTGCACACACCCACACACCCCACACAGACACCACCCACCCCACCCCTTTCTCAAAAAGCTGTAACCGCCCCTGTATTAGTAAGACTTACCTGCCAGGAGCCAAGCCCTACAAGAGGCATCCTATGGCCATTGTTCAATGTTAGAGACTGTGTGGCCATGTTTGTTAGTGAACGCCCGATTACTGCAAACCACCCAGATGGAATGCAAAAACTGCCGTCATGCTATCACGTGACCAATTCTGAACGTTTCCCGTTCAAGTACACCTCAACCAGATTAGGTTGGACGTGATGATGTAATGGTAAGTGGCGTCTTCCATGCTTGCCCGAACTGTAGCCTAACTCAATACTGGAGTCGGTTATGTACAGACGGGGCAGTACAAAGTACGAGGTCTTGGCAATTCTTATAACTTATTTCGATCGTGCAGTATGTTGATAGTAAAGGAAAGACTTCCGCCCGTATCCCCTCTTAAATGGCTTCTAGTCAAATCATATTACTAAAATATACATATTCAATAACCAATAGAATATTCCATCACAAGGGATATCTGTTTCAAATCACGAACTATGAAGGATCTTCTTAATAATGTCAGTTCTCATTTAATTATTGCATTTTTAAAAGAATTAGATTTGGTAAATGATTTGTAAATACATAAATATTTTATGATTGGAAGTTTGAATTTATTAGTAACTAAGATTGTTAGTGGCTGTATCCTCGAGGGGGGTTAAAGTACTGTAAAATTATTGTCCTCCTGACAGGGTACGTAAGTCCCAAATCATTCGGAATAAATTAAAACGTTCCACTTTTTTAATCGTAGAATACCTGTTCTTTTAATGTATGGCTAAATTTGTCAAATTGCTAACAGCTGAAGGGATGGTGTATATCCAGCTAGGGTCCATGCAGGAAGCAAATGTACTGTAAGTCCCCATGGTCCCTAGTATGGTGATCTACCTTCAGTTGTTGGCAATCTATAGCCTGTTTTTATATTGTATCGTCTTGTACATGTATAGTTCAAATGTTTTAGTTACTAGTTTTATATCTATATCTGTGATAATATATTTCTTTTACTGTCCTTCGTTGTCAGAATGTTATAATTTACCTTTAATTGTTGATACATTTATAGCTTGATTTAGTCACGATATGGCTGAAATATGGCCGATGTGACTTAAAATCTTAACTCACTCACTCAATAACCAATATTTAGAAGGTTGCAACTAGGCAACATTTAATTGTTCACGTGATACTGGGAAAGTGTAATATCAAATATAATATTTGTAACATTTAATTACATGTCTACCTAACAAACAACAATTAATTGTTCACGTGATAATTTAATTACATGTCTACCTAACAACAACTAGGCAACATTTAATTATTCACGTGATACTGGGAAAGTGTAATATCAGATATAACATTTGTAACATTTAATTACATGTCTACCTAACAACAACAAGGCAACATTTAATTGTTCACGTGATAATGGGAAAGTGTAATATCAAATATAACATTTGTAACATTTAATTACATGTCTACCTAACAACAACTAGGCAACATTTAATTGTTCACGTGATATCAAATTTACCAAGACTATTTGATATCAGAAGACACGAGGGTGAGATTATCTATATAACTCTGACGTACAACAAAATATAAATCACCTTCGAATTCCACATAATTATATCCGAGTCTCACCGGAGCCAAAAGGTTTTACGGATGTGAAATTAATTTTTCTTTAGATGGTTGTAAATTTTGCATCACATTAGACATAATAACAACGGAAATTGCAGCAGTGAAATACTAGAGTTATATCACTCTTGTATCAAAAAATACATACAATAACTAGGATAATTAAAACAAGTTTATGTTAATTTAAAGTATGCAGTGTTTGATTATGAACCACATGTTTATTTTCTATTAAAATGACAACTGAAAAAACTATTGTATACCCAATAGGATTGGGGCGGTGGGGTAGCCTAGTGGTTAAAGCGTACGCTCGTCAAGCCGAAGACAGGGGTTCGATTCCCCATAAGGGTACCATGTGTTAAGCCCATTTCTGGTGACCCCACAGTAATATTGCTGGAATATTGCTAAATGCGGCGCAAAACTAAACTCACTCATCCAATAGGATCATGCACTCCATCAAATGAGAGGAAACATGATACGTCATCTCAGCCAAAGAAGGCAAATTCGGGTGCCTTAATCTGGCAATACGATGGGCGTTGTGGGCGAGCTGGCTAAGGCGCCAGGCTAGTGATCCAGCGAGCTTGAGGTGCCGGGATCGAGCCCACCTGTGACCGGGTGTAATAAAACCATTGAGTCAACTTTGTGTGCAGACTCTCTCAGGTCTCCTTTGTTATCAGTTGCTTAAATGATTGAAAGTTTCTGTTTGACCATTACTGACCATCATAAACGTACAGCATGTCAAAGCTTTGTGAAACACCAAACAATATCGTAGCCATGTGACGAATGATTCCCGGGCTAGCGTCTTACTGAAATAAGTATTCGAGAAACATCTTGATCCTCAAGATAGATCGTTGTACTTTCTCTCTTCTTCGAATACTTGCCTGTATGAAGCTGATATGAGTACTGAACCTGACTCTTGTGCAGCGTAGAGTTTAATATGCAGTACATACGCGATAGACTACAAAATCAAATATAATATGCACAGGGGATAAGATTTTAATCAGTAAATTAAAAAAGTCAACACAGCATATCGAAAAGAGGAAATTCATTTATATCAAAGGTAATCATGAAGCGTTCATTTCCAATTTGACGCATTATTGCCCAAAATGCCTCAATTCCCTATGTTGACTTCAGTCATGTTCCCCTGTTTTCTCAGGTGAACAACTGACATGCCTTTTCGTGTGTTTATGACGTTTACCATAGGTAGGCCGAGCTACGTTAATCTTTACAGGTACACCGGGTATCACAATTATTTGGTTCATAAACATATGTCACGAAGCTGTGCCTCTGAGACAAAGGTGTTGATAAAATTGGTACAAACACACATTATTATTGATTCGATAAAGTTAAACAAACAAACAAACAAACACATGTTGACTTGTATCAAGAAAATGGTGCGTGACAGTGCTGATAAGATTAGCTGTTTACTAACTACTGTAAAGAAGGCCTGTGAAATATATAGACTTGCACAAGTATATAAAGTAAAAATAAATAGTTTAAATGAAAATTTCTAAAAAAACTATGAATAACAGTCTGGCGTCCTTGTACTGTCCGCTAATCTGGATTTGCCTCTTCAAAGGATAGAATTACTATACATCCATTCAGTAAATCCTTGGAGCAAGGCTATAAAATACACTACCCGAGCTTATACGCTTTGTGCATTAAAACCAGAGGAAAGCCAGAGCAAGAGCCAAGCTGACCCATATTTCCCGACTTGTGAGACTAAGTTTCGACCCACCAGCCAGCAACAGAATGGTGTAACGGGTCCTGGGGGTGACAACTCCCTCGGACCTTAATGTAAACAACTACATACCCACTGCATAACAATTTATATCCCCATCCATTGATACTATAAAAACATGGTTTGGTTTGGTACTCACATGAAAATAGAATACAAAATCACATCATCATTGCCGCGAAGAGACATATTCACATATTCAGCATTAAATATATGCTTCCAAATCTAACTTTATATATAAAAACTCTAAAGGAAATATACTTTGTGGAAAATCATATATCAACAAAAATAATAAAATAAATAATTTCAATCAAAAATGGAGCCTTCTTTCCCCAGACTTAGATGACTCTAAACTGTATCGATTTGTACCTGACATCATCTGTACATTTAATGGCAAAGATTTATGCATGTTTATGAATATATTTATATATTGATATCATACCTGTACATCATGTAGCAGCATCAATTAAAGCCGTTTGTGTCACGGCTTTGTATATATGCGATATTATAATCTTGGGAACCAATAAAAATATAAAAACTTTTTTTTTAAAAACTACATACTCACTACCTAAGCTAAACCATGATGTAGTACACTTCGTTTTTAAATTGTACTTGGTCGTTATACTCGCCACGTAACTCACATACAGAATCGCATATGTAAACATTGCAATCTAACTGATACTGAAGAAGAATGCCATTTCTTAATTGCCTGCCCACACTCTTCAGATTTAAAGGTACGATCCTCTCTGTAGGCCGGTAAATTTGAACCTAGTTTCTCTGCTATGGACCCAATCTATTACTTTTCCCTCATGAGAAATGATCTGTTCAAGCCTTAGATAGAAAACCGTAACTAACTCTATATTTATACATGCGTGTATTTTTTAAATGGCTAAAAACACATCAGGGATGTTTACATAGTGCGAGTTAATCCCGAGAAGATCAAAGTTACTAAAATGTTTTCAACAACTGAATGAACTATACTTGAAGTTGCACAATGCACAAGCTTTCAGAAGGGATTGTTTCTCTTGTTATCAACGTACTGCACATACTTACATAGTCCACTATGGTAAAAGTAGAATTATCTCTTTGTACATGTTCTGTATTTGTAGAGTGACTTCGCAACTTCCGAAAAAAGTTGAAAATGTGTTACACACTTAAATAAACAACGAGGTTAATATATGAAGGTTCATATTATATATGAATATACTGCTAGGAAAAGACTATTGATATTTGTGTCCAAATGAAGGACTTCTCGGAACCGTTTTGCGATTTCCCATTTCAGAGAGGCTCGTCAAAGGGGTATTCTGAGTGACCTTTGAATCTGAAATGAAAAGTTTTCTTTTGGATCAAAGGCACAATGAAAGGATCTTCAGAGTGTTCAAGAATCTCAGTTGAAAAAGAACATATCTCTTTTTTTCAGAAATGACCATTACTATATTCATTGCAATAGATGCGTTGGGGTAACCCAGTTGCTCATCACCAGAAAATGGATGGAAACCAATAATTTCAAATTTTGTGACACAACAATGTGTAAGGTTGGTTCAAGTGCCTCCCGTCATGATGTTGCTGGAATATTTCTTAATATAGAATAACAACATATTTGTTATAGAACCAAACACACTGATCATGTGTGAACGAAGAGGTAAAATGCTTTATCTTTTTTTAAAACATGACTTAAACTGAACTTACTCCAAGAAGGTTAAAAAACGCAGTTTCTTGTCTTGAGCTGAAAGCTTTGACATATCCTCGCCAGACAGTTCGAAGTCGAAAACCTTTGAAAAATAAGAGAAGAGCCTGTTTTACAAATTCCCCTTCGATACATATTTGTGTTTAAAAAACAGACAATGAGTCACTTACGTTTTCATTTTTATTAAAATTTTCGAAAACAAAATTGACACTTTGACGAATCAACTTATAATTGCTTTCAGATAGGAATGGGATGAAGGAATGAACAATACCTTCACGTTTTCCAGAATTCTTGAAGGATTGCTGCTCTTCGGGATAACAATCATGCCTCTTTGGACAAGATAGCGGAGGAGAATCTGCATAAATAATAAACTGATAAATAAAATGGATTCACATCGGCCGCGCTTTCTATATCACAACAACATGCACATATGTCGACATCATTCCGATGTCAGTGTAACATACCTGTCCTACAGATCTTTTATACTTTGTGGCCAGATCCTTAGCAACTGGGTCATCTAGAACTCTGGGAGCTCCTTCCTTCAGCCTGGGTACAAGGCGTGGACAATCATGTATTAGAAAACATGATTGATAGGAAATGAAAGAAAACGTAACACTTTATACATAGCATATTTTTGTGTTGACTGCGTAAAATAAACTACGTCACAAGTGAGGTGAGTATGAGTGATAGGGATGGTGGTTGTGGGAGGATAAGGATGAAGATGTAATGATTTGATTTTGTAACGTTATACTTTCTGTGTATGAAGTGGTAAAGTGGTGGTTTACAAAGTTTCAATGGCATCGTTCCATATCGCCCATAGTCTCTCTTCTTTAAGGACCATATTGTCAATGTACTGCATTAATTCAGATACAACAAATCAAAATGACTTTACAACTAGAATAATATGGGTTTAGTCACAGTTGTTCAGTTAAGATTCTTACATGTGAGCTGGTCGAGTTGGTGAACCGAGAGGGCTGTAGGCTGTAACAGTTATCCCCTTTTCCTTGAGAAACTGAAACAGCTTTTCTTGCTGGAGATACAAATGACACTCAACCTGCAAATGTGAAAGGTCAAATAATGTTTATCTTGTCTAACGTGGTATAAATGACATAGTGTACTGAATATTCATATTACTTGTTCATTGTGTATTCTTGTGATATCTTTCCAAATCTGACACGACAGAGACAATAATTTCCTATTTTGACTTGTACCATACAGGGATTTCTCATAATTGTTGAAAGAGTTTGCATAATGCTCAATAGGACCAATGAAGGCTGAGGCATTGTTCCTCCTCGAGGAATAACGTTCGTTTTTCCCTCAAAACACAAACTGATGTTATTGAAAAGTGTCACTGTACCTGGTTTGTGGCTGGTAATATTTCAGCTATCTTGCATATCCTCTCAGTCTGTTCCATGTTGAAATTTGAGACACCAATAGACTTGGCTTGGCCACTACGAGCCACCTGTTCCATCCCCTGTAATACACCATTAAGTTACATGTTGTAATTTATATAGGTTGAACAGCCATTTGGGCATATTAATAACAGGAAACGAGTTTAAAGGTAATAATTTCACACTTTCATACGTATGTCATCAATAATAATGACATGATATATAAGAGAAGATAATTTCACCTTTCAGGAAGTGCACATGTTCCCTTTTACATTCATCTTGGTTGACTGGTTGTTGTTCAACGCTGCAGTCAGCAATATTCCAGCTATATGGCGGCGGTCTGTAAATAATCGAGTTTGGACCATACAATCCAGTGATCAACAGCATGAGCATCGGTCTATGCAATTGGGAACCGATGACATGTGTCAACCAAGTCAGCGAACCTGACCACCCGATCCCGTTAGTGGCCCTAGGGTCTTACATTCATCCAATAACAAAACATTTGTAGAACTACATATGTTTGTATTCACATTTTCCCTGGAAAACTAACACAGTATCAATTAGTAGGAGGAGATGTCTGACCTTCCACGTATCCGTCAGGAGAACATCCTGGAATGCAGGTTTGTCGTTTTCATCCAGTGGGAAAGGTTCTCCTTTGCCTGTTTCCTGTTTGACAAAGATCTGAGAATTACCCCGGAATACCAACGGAATTTATTGTAAACCTTAAAAAAACATTTTTGAGAAAATAAATCACCGAATTAATATATAGTCGTAATGTACAAGCTTGTTTTCGATTTTAAGTTTTATTGCAACACATTAGCATAATGTAAAGGAAAGCCATAAGTCTTGTTTTTCAGAATACAAACACATTGAGAGTTTACTGAAACCCTACTGTCATGATATTATACACTGAATATGTATGATGGTCTTTAATAGAACACACAACAAAAGCTATTTCTTTTGCCAAGAACGGAAACTATATTTATCTCTTAAATGTCAATTCAATTTAAAACATCAAAAATTGTTTGAAAATAAGAAAGTCACTTAATATACAAGCTGTTTCTGAATACAGGTTTTATCACTGCATATGGACATAATGTAAAGGAAAGTCTGGAGTGATGTTTTTGGAGTACAAAGTTAGCTGAAGCCCGTCTGATATAATGAAGTTGACTAAACATTTTACTTTGTGTGATGGTGGTTGAGAGAACATGAAAGATATGTTCTAGTTTTTATGCCAAGGACGGAGATACAATTTATCACTTAAATGTCAGTTGCGGATTCTTGAAAGTATGGTTATTCCAGTTCTTCTCTTCGGATGCCAGATGGTCATAGACGAGCTGAAAACCATCTAGTACTGCAGAAAGTAGCATTGACATATTGGTATATGAAGTAAATGCAGATATCATAGAAACTGATTTGTCAGGATGTGGAATAACACTTACTCTCAGTCCTACAGGAAGGTGGATAAGATACATGTCCACATAGTCCAACTGTAACTTCTTAAGGCTTTCAACGATGCACAGGGGAACTCGGTCTTTCTCATGGTAGGTCACCCAAAGCTGCAATAAATACAAATCGGTATTCTAACACTTTCAAAAGACACTTCCTTGTGTATTTTATATTAAGTATTTAATTAATTATCTCACCTGTAAGCGAGTTACGCCACCTTAAACATAATTTCAGTCGTGTCTCTGTATACATGCTTTGTTTTGTTTGATGTTTCACAATTGGCTCAGCAATATTCCAGCTGTATGACGACAGTCTCTTAATAATCGAGCCTGGACCAGACAATCCAGTGATTGATATCATGGGCGTCTATGTATAACCAATTCAGCGATCGTGACCACCGGGTGGCCTCTTTTGACAAGAATGGGTTACTGAGGATCAATTTCAACCCGGATATTCACAGGTACAGCATATTAAGTAGAATGTTATCGGAAAGGCTGAAGTGAGTTAGATCTTCTGCACGCACGAGCACAGGTGAAGTGCAGAATCAGATCAATCATTGGTTTCAGAGAACAATTTGAATAACACTGATGTGTTTAATGTTGAAGAGAATATTCATCTTGCCTTTGTTGTAACAAAAATGTCCTCCCTCCTCAGTTTCCCGGCCTTGAAGTATTCCTGGAGCACCTCCCCAATGAAAGCCTCGTTATGGTATGCGTAGGCTGTGTCAATGTGTCTGTAGCCAGCGTCCAGTGCCGCACGGATAGTGTCCTTGCACTCCTCGGGAGAGGTAACCTGTGAAATAAAGGGATCAGTAAACGCTTGGTTTCATCAGTGACAGAGGCAGACATACTATGTGATACCAGGATTCAAAATCAAAGCGAATCTATACTACCCACCAAAAGTTTAGACTCACTTAAAGCACTCACTATATGTTATGTACATATGTGAGGTTACATCGAAGATGAATTTCTCCACTAACTTAGGGGAACCAACTGCAAACCTTATGCAGATGAATTGCTCGAGGATCATGCATCATATTGGTGAAAAGCATGTGCAAATATCGTGCATGTGAACAGATGCGTTTTGGTGTAAAGTTTTGTTAAGAATTCGCCAATTTTCATCATTTTTTGAATTCATGACAATAATCTTTTCAACGTTACAAATTTGTTTCACAATACATCAGTTCATGTGTAAACAGTACGGAATATTTGGCAAAATCTAGTTCATAACCGTTGACTGAAGTAAGTGGCTACATTTACACTAGTGAGTCTAAAGTGTTGGTGGGTAGTATAGGATCCAAACCTAGTCAAGCATAACCAAAAAGCCATTTATTGAGTCATGTGGCTTTAGACAATGTCTCCGTTCATTGTTGAGTCACATATCGTTACGGAAATCCAGAATGTTTCACATGCTGTTGTCTTTATGTACCAGCCGCCAATTGGTCAATCAACTGGATCGTGTCTGTATTCGCAATCCAACGTCAATTGCCCCGAACTACGTCATTGTCTCTTCGTCCGTCAATTGTTTTCTCTTCGTCTGTCCATAATTGTTCATTAATATACTGTTAGTGAGTTCGGTATTCTAACTACATCTGTATGTACAGCCTTATACAAAAGATTGGTTGGCCGCACTCAGCAGAATTCCATCTATATGGCGTCGGTCTGTAAAACTAATAATCGAGTCTGGACCAGACAGTTCACTGATCAACAGCATGAACATCGATCTAAGCAACTGGAATACGATGACATGTGTCAACCAAGTCACCTAGTCAGACCACCCGATCACGTTAGTCGCCCCTTACGACAAGCATGGGTAACTGAAGACAGATTCTAACCCCCATCTTCAAGAGTCTTACATAATAGACACCTGCTTGACTTGACGAGTCGGGTTGGAATCACCACTGTTGGTAATTAATATCTAAGACCAGTATCTCTTATGGTGCTGATCTGATAGAGTAAAGCTACCAGATCCAAGGTGTTATACATTTATCTGTATTTGCGGCTATGTTTACATTCAACGTTGGTCATGTATTCATTTGTGGCATACTCGCAACTGGTCAGCTATTGTACACATTTATCATCAATGCTTCAGTCAAATGATATTATTCTGTCAGCGCCACTGCACTTCACAATAACAACTTTATCGTCAGTTTTAAGTGAGTGAGTGAGTATAGTTTTACGCCGCTTTTAGCAATATTCAAGCAACACCACGACAGAGGACACCAGGAATGGGCTTCACACATTGCACTTACTGGGGAATCGAACCCAGTCCTTGCGTGATGAGCGAATGCTTTCACCACAGAGCTACCCCGCCGAGTCAGTTTTTAGAGTAAAAACTATTGTCTATTATAGCTAAAATAGGGTATAAAATATGGACGACAGACAATCACAAATGATCAGTGGCTGACTAATAAACTCATCATTTATTTACACAGATCTTGTGTTGTTGTGAGTTGGTGGTACACACTGGTAGCTCTGTCAAGCGAGTGATTCCTCTCTCGTTTTAATATATCCAATTATCATATAACCGACAGAATATTTTTTTCTCAACGTATACTTTGTTTTCATTCTGTATATATCCCCAGCCGACACACACGTTGACACAATCAATACTGTATGGAAGCCCGCTGACCTAAATACTGGCTCAAGCATGTCCTTGAGACACCGGCTCCCTAATCTTTTGACCTATATATTCTTTTTACGTGTACCTGTCACCGGTGAAGGTTCTCATATATCACCGATACTGTTATAACCTAATTCAGAAAGACTGAGTAGGAGACTCTACACCGTTAGTAGTTATCACCGGGTAGAATATAGTGTATATAATGTGGTATGGGGTTTTGATATTGAGTGAGCATCGTTCCCTCTTTAATGCCGCACTTGGTGATATTCCATGTTATTGCAGCGATGTAGATACATCAACAGATGTGCTTCGTCTATCAACCTGTTGTCCCAGGGTGAGTGAGTTGGTAGCAAGTCAACGTACGGTTGCTCATAGGCGGATCGGGGTGGGGTGGGGTAGGGGGTGGGGGTGGGGGTGCAGGGTGCGCATTCCCCTTATGTCCTGAAAGTTTATTAAATGACCATTGAAACTCGGGTGAAAATGAAGTGTGAACCCCTCCTTTTCTCATTAGTGTGCACACACACACACACCACACCCCCACCACACCCCCCCCCCACCCCCCCCTTTCTCAAAAAGCTGTAACCGCCCCTGTATTAGTAAGACTTACCTGCCAGGAGCCAAGCCCCACAAGAGGCATCTTATGGCCATTGTTCAATGTTAGAGACTGTGTGGCCATGTTTGTAAGTGAACGCCCGATTACTGCAAACCACACTGAAGGAATGCAAAACTGCCGTCATGCTATCACGTGACCAATTCTGAACGTTTCCCGTTCAAGTACACCTCAACCAGATTAGGTTGGACGCCACGATATTATGGTAACAGGCGTCTTCCATGCTTGCCCGCATTGTAGCCTTACTCAACACTGGAGTCGGTTATGTACAGACGGGGCAGTACAAAGTACGAGCTCTCAATGGCAATTCTTATAACTTATTACGATCGTGCAGTATGTTGATAGTAAAGGAAAGACTTCCGCCCGTATCCCCTCTTAAATGGCTTCTAGTCAAATCATATTACTAAAATATACATATTTAATAACCAATAGAATATTCCATCACAAGGGATATCTATTTCAAATCACGAACAAGGAAGGATCTTTTTAAAAATATCAGTTCTCATTTAATTATTGCATTTTTAAAAGAATTAGATTTGTTAAATGATTTGTAAATACATAAATATTTTATGCTTGGAAGTTTGAATTAGTAACTAAGATTGTTAGTGGCTGTATCCCCGAGGGGGGTTAAAGTACTGTAAAATTATTGTCCTCCTGAGAGGGTACGTAAGTCCCAAAACATTCGAAGTAAATTAAAACGTTGCACTTTTTAATCGTAGAATACTTGTTCTTTTAATGTATGGCTAAATTTGTCAAATTGCTAACAGCTGAAGGGATGGTGTAAATCCAGCTAGGGTCAATGCAGGAAGCAAATGTACTGTAAGTCCCCATGGTCCCTAAAAAGTACTGTCGGAAATAGAAAAAAACTGTATTTGCTCATTTATCTCTACAATTTATGTCGTTGATATGTGAAAGTGTGAAATATATGTTAAACTAAGTTTGGCCTAACTACAGTCTCAGAAAAAAGGACTTTACTGAGGAGAGATAAGTGCAGAAATGAGCAATGCGGGTTTTTTCTAAGTCCAAAACGATTTATTTGGAACAGACCATGGCTTTATGCAAATTAGTGTGCGACGATTTTGGATTACAAAGGACACTTTTTAAATGCCCATTTTGAAATTAGACGTTGCTTCATTATAAACGTAAAAAATAATAACTGTCATGCTGAAACTATTAAGGATGTAGCTATCATGGAGTCTCACTGTCACGATAAAAAGAAACAGATAGGAGGGTTCGTCTCAAAAGCAAAACCTGGAGGGGTGTCGCAGACGATCGTTGGGGTCGGGCTGGGGGATAGAGATATCAGCTAAGATAAGATAATCCTTTAGGGCAATTATACTGGGGAAGTACACGGCATGTAATAACAATTTACAAATATACTGAGTCAAAAAGGAAACTTCACATTCTTTCTTCAGGGCACTATAAAAGAATAACAGATAGGTAAGATGGTTAAATTGTTATTATTTCATTGCTGAGATCTGTTGTGATGTACTCGATACACTGACAGTGCCATAATCAGTTCCATTAGGCTACACCGCCGTTCCAAAACATGGGTTTACAGAATGTCAAGTCACAAGAATAAAAATGCGAAATTTCTCAGTTCAATATCGTGTATGGCCGCCCCGCGCATTCACCACTGCCAAACACCGTCTCCTCATCGGCTGCCTGATGCTTGTGAACACGTGGTTGGGGATTCTGCGCCATTGTTCCTGCAAGGCAGCGCCAAGTTCCTGCAAATTCTGAGGTTGGTTCCTAAGACCACGATGCCTTCTCCCAAGTGCATCCCAAACGTACTCTATTGGATTAAGGTCAGGGGACCTCGATGGCCAGTCCATGACCATGACCTCGATGGCCAGTTGATTCCAGCGTTTTGAAGGAAATTTTGTGTCAACATCGCGGTATGCGGCCGAGCATTATCATGCTGGAACTGTAGACCTGGGCCATGAGCCGCCATGAAAGGAACGAGTTCAGGGGTGAGCACCTGGTCGCGGTAAGCAGCAGCTGTGAGGCTTCCGGGGGGATGACCAGAAGTCGGGACCCCACACCATGCAACTTCCGCCCCCGAATCTGTCGACTTCCTGTACACAACATTGGGCATACCGTTCACGACGTCGTCTCCAGACTCTATGCCTGCCGTCCGCGAATCTGAGGGTAAACCTGGATTCATCCCTAAAGACGACTCGATTCCAGTCTCTTTGGGTCCACAGCAGACGTTGACGTTGATGAAACGGCGTCAATATTGGCCCACGATATGGACGTCGAGAAAGGAGATTGGCAGCCCGCAACCGATTTCGAATGGTCTGTGAGGACAGTCGACCTCTAAACATCTCAGCCCTGGTCCGTGTAGCCGGCAGAAATCTGTCACGTAGGTGACGTAGGACGATTTGACGGTCTTCTGCTCGTGACGTCACACGTGGACGACCCGACCTTGGGCGATCAGAAGTGGTGCCAGTTTGTTGTAGACGACCTCGCAAGTCATACACAGTACGACGGCTGCATCTCATTGCTCTTGCGACGTCAATAACTGATCTTCCCGCTTGCAACATGCCAACTGCACGTTCACGTTGCACATTTGACAATCGTGGCATTTCAAGTACCGTTAGAACTGTGGTATAAAAGTGTTTTTTCAATTCTTGAGGCCAATGCAAACACGTGCATATGAAGAAAACTTCGATGCGAAGATCACGTGATCGACTGCACGTGCAAAACCTGATTTGGCACTAACGTCATTTGCACGACGAATGGATGGATGGGTTTGAGTGGGTTTTGCTAACGTTTTTCTAGAGTCGAAAGATAGGGATCCCATTTCGGATACATAGATGTATCATCAGAGAAAAATTATTCATTATTTTTCAAATTACATTTTGTGAAGTTTCTTTTTTGACTCAGTATATTATCCAGTCCTGTCGATCTTCGCGATTGGGTGGTCATGCCACCTATATATTTTGAGACATGTAATACGATGCGTTTCTATGGTTATCAGGTATCATACCCTTTTACATATCTCAACATAAACTTTATGAAAGAAAGACACGTAAGATGTTAATCAATAGATGAGACATAGTCAGCACACATGAAAAAGCACAAAATATCTTTGATATGACCCCTTGTGCCTATAAGGCAGCACATGCATTTCATGCTATAGTTTGGCATGAAATGCATGTGGACCCGTTTTTCTAAATATCTCTTCATCCAATGATCCAATCGATCTCAAACTGTGCAAGTGGATGTTTTTTCAGACAACCTAATCACATTGTAAATCACCGGTTTTATGCATTTGTATTAAAGAATCTGTCCATGTAACTGTCAACAAAATAAACAGCAGAACGCAGACGGCTTGCAGAGGGAGGGAGCCAATGACCTAATATAATGATGACACTGTTCAATGCAGCAAGAGCAGACCAAAGAAGAAGACGTAACCCAAACTAGAAAAAGGAAAGAAAGGACAGTTTGTGTGAGGGAATGGTTGACTAGAAGACATCACTTCGGACTTTATTATCAGTACTGACAGAACTCCACAAGGAAGATCCTGAGAATGTCTCCCGACTTGTTCCAAGACATGGTGGAGAAGTGAACCAATCTTGACCACTCTCATGAGAGAACCGCTGGAGGTGCAACTCAAGCTGGGAACTGCAAAGACATCATTGAGGTCCACAAGGATGAAGTACTCAAGTGCCCCAAAACTGAAGAGGAGTGGAAGGCGGTTGCTGAAGGTTTTAGTTCCAGATGGAACTGCCACAAGTGTCTTGGGGCTGTGGACGGCAAGGGTGTTGCTGTGAAGAAGCCAAAGCTGGATCATTCTACTACAATTATAAGGGCGTCCACAGCAGATGCTGGATACAAGTTCTTGTATGTTGATGTTTGGGCAGAGGGTGGTGCTTAATATGGAGGAACATGGAAGAACTGTACTTTGCATGAAGCTGTCGAGGACACTCACACTTTCTCGCCAATCTTTCGATTAGCTGCAGTTTCGTCCTTAGATAACAGACAGACAGACAGACAGACAGACAGACAGACTAGTTTTCACGACTAGTTCACGCAAGTGGCAGGAAGATTATGTGTACCAGAACTGGCACGCACACCTCACAACAGTTTTCGCGAATTTACTCATTGGCACGCAAAATTACTTACCAGTGCGGGGACAAATTACGCACCTCCGGAACATATTCGTGACTGAGACGTCATTGGTGGGCAGACAATAAGCCCACTGGGACAAAAACCCCTTGGACAAAAACCCTAGGCTACATGTCCCAATGACAAAAAAACTTTGCAAAATTCCACCCATTGAAGAAACGCAGTTTCTTGTCTTGAGCTGAAAGCTTTGACATATCCTCGCCAGACAGTTCGAAGTCGAAAACCTTTGAAAAAAAGAGAAGAGCTTGTTTTACAAATTCCCCTTCGAGACAAATTTGTGTTTAAAAAACAGACAGTGAGTCACTTACGTTTTCATTTTTATTAAAATTTTCGAAAACAAAATTGACACTTTGACGAATCAACTTATAATTGCTTTCAGATAGGAATGGGATGAAGGAATGAACAATACCTTCACGTTTTCCAGAATTCTTGAAGGATTGCTGCTCTTCGGGATAACAATCATGCCTCTTTGGACAAGATAGCGGAGGAGAATCTGCATAAATAATAAACTGATAAATAAAATGGATTCACATCGGCCTGGCTTTCCATATCACAACAACATGCACATATGTGGACATCATTCTGATGTCAGTGTAGCATACCTGTCCTACAGATCTTTTATACTTTGTGGCCAGATCCTTAGCAACTGGGTCATCTAGAACTCTGGGAGCTCCTTCCTTCAGTCTGGGTACAAGGCGTGGACAATCATGTATTAGTAAACATGATTGATAGGAAATGAAAGAAAACGTAACACTTTATACATAGCATATTTTTGTGTTGACTGCGTAAAATAACTACGTCACAAGTGAGGTGCGTGGGAGTGATAGGGATGGTGGTTGTGGGAGGATAAGGATGAAGATGTAATGATGTGATTTTGTAACGTTATACTTTCTGTGTATGAAGTGGTAAAGTGGTGGTTTACAAAGTTTCAATGGCATCGTTCCATATCGCTCATAGTCTCTCTTCTTTAGAGGACCATATTGTCAATGTACTGCATTAATTCAGATACAACAAATCAAAATGACTTTACAACTAGAATCATATGGGTTTAGTCACTGTTGTTCAGTTAAGATTCTTACATGTGAGCTGGTCGAGTTGGTGAACCGAAGGGGCTGTAGGCTGTAACAGTTATCCCCTCCCTGAGAAACTGAAACAGCTTTTCTTGCTGGAGATACAAATGACACTCAACCTGCAAATGTGAAATTTCCAATAATGTTTATCTTATCTAACGTGGTATAAATGACATAGTGTACTGAATATTCATATTACTTGTTCATTGTGTATTCTTGTGATATCTTTCCAAATCTGACGCAACAGAGACAATAATTTCCTATTTTGACTTGTGCCATACAGGGATTTCTCATAATTGTTGAAAGAGTTTGCATAATGCTCAATAGGACCAATGGAGGCTGAGGCATTGTTCCTCCTCGAGGAATAACGTTCGTTTTTCCCTCAAAACACACACTGATGTTATTGAAAAGTGTCACTGTACCTGGTTTGTGGCTGGTAATATTTCAGCTATCTTGCATATCCTCTCAGTCTGTTCCATGTTGAAATTTGAGACACCAATAGATTTGGCTTGGCCACTACGAGCCACCTGTTCCATCCCCTGTAATAGACCATTAAGTTACATGTTGTAATTTATATAGGTTGAACAGCCATTTGATCATATTAATAACAGGAAACGAGTTTAAAGGTAATAATTTCACACTTTCATACGTATGTCATCAATGATAATGACATGATATATAAGAGAAGATAATTTCACCTTTCAGGAAGTGCACATGTTCCCTTTTACTTTCATCTTGGTTGATTGGTTGTTGTTCAACGCTGCAGTCAGCAATATTCCAGCTATATGGCGGCGGTCTGTAAATCATCGAGTCTGGACCATACAATCCAGTGATCAACAGCATGAGCATCGGTCTGTGCAATTGGGAACCGATGACATGTGTCAACCAAGTCAGCGACCCTGACCACCCGATCCCGTGAGTGGCCTTAGGGTCTTACATTCATCCAACAACAAAACATTTGTAGAACTACATATGTATGTATTCACATTTCCCCTGGAAAACTAACACAGTATCAATTAGTAGGAGGAGATGTCTGACCTTCCACGTATCCGTCAGGAGAACATCCTGAAATGCAGGTTTGTTGTTTTCATCCAGTGGGAAAGGTTCTCCTTTGCCTGTTTCCTGTTTGACAAAGATCTGAGAATTACCCCGGAATACCAACGGAATTTATTGTAAACCTTAAAAAAACATTTTTTAGAAAATAAATCACCGAATTAATATATAGTCGTAATGTACAAGCTTGTTTTCGAATTTAAGTTTTATTGCAACACATTAGCATAATGTAAAGGAAAGCCATAAGTCTTGTTTTTCAGAGTACAAACACATTGAGAGAATTACATTACTGAAACCCGACTGCCATGATATTATACACTGAATATGTATGATGGTCTTTAATAGAACACACAAAAAAAGCTATTTCTTTTGCCAAGAACGGAAACTATATTTATCTCTTAAATGTCAATTCAATTTAAAACATCAAAAAATTATTTGAAAATAAGAAAGTCACTTAATCTACAAGCTGTTTCTGAATACAGGTTTTATCCCAGCATATGGACATAATGTAAAGGAAAGTCTGGAGTGAAGTTTTTGGAGTACAAAGTTAGCTGAAGCCCGTCTGACATAATGAAGTTGACTAAACATTTTACTTTGTGTGGTGGTGGTTGAGAGAACATGAAAGATATGTTCTAGTTTTTTATGCCAAGGACGGAGATACAATTTATCATTTAAATGTCAGTTGCGGATTCTTGAAAGTATGGTTATTCCAGTTCTTCTTTTCGGATGCCAGATGGTCATAGACGAGCTGAAAACCATCTAGTACTGCAGAAAGTAGCATTGACATATTGGTATATGAAGTAAATGCAGATATCATAGAAACTGATTTGTCAGGATGTGGAATAACACTTACTCTCAGTCCACATAGTCCAACTGTAACTCCTTAAGGCTTTCAGCGATGCACAGGGGAACGGTCTTTCTCATGGAAAGTCACCCAAAGCTGCAATAAATACAAATCGGTATTCTAACATTTTCAAAAGACACTTCCTTGTGTATTTTAAGTATTTAATTAATTATCTCACCTGTAAGCGAGTTACGCCACCTTAAACATAATTTCAGTCGTGTCTCTGTATACATGCTTTGTTTTGTTTGATGTTTCACAATTGGCTCAGCAGTATTGCAGCTGCATGACGACAGTCTGTAAATAATCGAGCCTGGACCAGACAATCCAGTGATTGATATCATGGGCGTCTATGTATCAACCAAGTAAGCGATCGTGACCACCCGATGGCGTCTCATGACAAGAATGGGTTACCGAGGATCAATTTCTACCCGGATCTTCACAGGTACAGCATATTAAGCAGAATGTTATGGAAAAGTCTGAAGTGAGGTAGATCTTCGACCTTAAGTAGATTAGAACGCACGAGCACAGGTGAAGTGCAGAATCTGACCAATCATAGGTTTCAGAACAAATCCGAAATGCACCGATGTTTTAATGTTGAAGAGAATAATCATTTTACCTTCGTTGTAACAAAAATGTCCTCCCTCTTCAGCGTCCCGGTCTTGAAGTATTCCTGGAGCCCCTCCCCAATGAAAGCCTCGTTCTGGTATGCGTAGGCTGTGTCGATATGTCTGTAGCCAGCGTCCAGTGCCGCACGGATAGTGTCCTTGCATTCCTCGGGAGAGGTAACCTGTAAAATAAAGGGATCAGTAAACGCTTAGTTTCATCAGTGACAGAGGCAGACATACAATGTGATACCAGGATTCATAATCAAAGCGAATCTATACTACCCACCAAAAGTTTAGACTCACTTAAAGCACTCACTATATGTTATGTACATATATGTGGTTACATCGAAGATGAATTTATCCACTAACTTAGGGGAACCAACTGCAAACCTTATGCAGATTAAATGCTCGAGGATCATGCATCATATTGCTGAAAAGCATGTGCAAATATTGTGCATGTGAACAGCTGCGTTTTGGTGTAAAGTTTTGTTAAGAATTCGCCAAATTTCATCATTTATTGAATTCATGACAATAATGTTTTCAACGTTACAAATTTGTTTCACAATACATCAGTTCATGTGTAAACAGTACCTTAAAACAGTATGGAATATTTGGAAAAATCTAGTTCAGAACAGTTGACTGAAGTAAGTGGCTACATTTACACTAGTGAGTCTAAAGTGTTGGTGGGTAGTATAGGATCCAAACCCAGTCAAGCATAACAAAAAAGCCATTTATTGAGTCATGTGGCTTTAAACAATGTCTCCGTTCATTGTTGAGTCATACCGTTACGGAAATCCAGAGTGTTTCACATGCTGTTGTCTTTAAGTACCAGCCGCCAATCGTTCAATCAACTGGATCGTGTCTGTATTCGCCATCCAAAGTCAATTGCCCCGAACTACGTCATTGTCTCTTCGTCCGTCAATTGTTTTCTCCTCGTCTGTCCATAATTGTTCATTAATATACTGTTAGTGAGTTCGGTATTCTAACTACATCTGTATGTACAGCCTTATACAATAGATTGGTTGGTTGGTTTGTTGTTTAATGCCGCACAGCCGAATTCCATCTATATGGCGACGGTGTGTAAAACTTATAATCGAGTCTGGACCAGATAATCCACTGATCAACAGCATGAACATCGACCTAAGCAACTGGAATACGATGACATGTGTCAACCAAGTCACCTTGTCAGACCACCCGATCACGTTAGTCGCCCCTTACGACAAGCATGGGTAACTGAAGACCGATTCTAACCCCCATCTTCAAGAGTCTTACATAATAGACACCTGCTTGACTTGACGATTCGGGTTGGAATCACCACTGTTGGTAATTAACATCACATACAGTATCATTGATGTATATCAGAAAAAGAAGTGGTCCAAGGACAGAGCCCTGAGGTACAGACACCTTCTGGCAATGCCTTCTATCTTGCAAGGACTGAGATTTGGTGTCCTTATAAAGTTTGTTATGACTTGTGCCACGAACGGCACCACATGTAGGTCTCAGAGCATCAAGATGTAAATTTTCTAATGTACGCCATTGCTCAGACGTACAGTTATCCCAAATATGCGAACAATAGTCAAATATTGGCAAGATATAGAACTTATACATAATATCCAACGTTTTACGTGATAATCGGTATTTAAAATTCCTCAGGCATCTGATCATAGGGCGAACTATACGTACAATATCATTAGTGTGATTATTCCACGTACAATCGCTTTGGCGTGTTAATCCTAAATGTATATGACTTTTGACTTCTTTTGTGATTGTTCCGTCCATGAATAAGTTCGGTTTTAGAGACGGTTTCGTTTTACGTGAGAACTGAGTAGTTTCGGTTTTATTTGGATGAAATGTAACCTGCCACTTACGGGCCCATTGTGAAATTCTATCGAGATCATTGTTAAGACAGGTAGCAGCAACTGATGGATCGTCTATGATAACATATAATGAGGTGTCATCCGCAAAGAGACGAATGTTACTGTCAACATCACATACAATATCATTGATGAATATCAGAAAAAGAACTGGTCCAAGGACAGAGCCCTGAGGTACTCCAGCTAGTACAGTTTTCTTGTCAGATTTATAGCCGATGCTTCTTTCCATGGACTGGGAAAAATTGACAGGCTTAGCGATAAATTGAATAATTTCGTAAGTATGGATGTTAGACTATTTGCGGTATATCTAAGTACTTTATTTCCTATCCCATCCGAACCGGTCGCCTTTGATGTGTCCAGTGACATTATGATATCTCTGACGTCATCGCGGGTTAGAGTGATGTTAGTTAATTTTGGGATACAAGGAAACTCGGTATCGGGCAAATCTCGATAAAGTAATTGTTTAAAACATTTGCGATTTCTTCAGGGTCATTATAGATTGTATCGTTAAAGATAATTGTCCCAAATTGATTGTCATTGTTGCGTGATTTTATGAACCCTTTCGTCAGACGCCACCACGTTTTGGTATTTAACATAGGGGGATCCAGAGGGAGGGGGGTGCAGGGGTGCGCACCCCTCTTATGTCCTGAAAGTTTATTAAATGACAATTGAAACTCGGGTGAAAATGAAGTGTGCACCCCTCCTTTTCTCAATACTGTGCACACACACACACACACACGCACACACCACCCCTTTCTCAAAAAGCTGTAACCGCCCCTATATTAGTAAGACTTACCTGCCAGGAGCCAAGCCCTACAAGAGGCATCTTATGGCCATTGTTCAATGTAAGATACTGTGTGGCCATGTTTGTAAGTGAACGCCCGATTACCGCAAACCACACAGATGGAATGCAAAAACTGCCCTTATCATGGTATCACGTGATCAATTCTGAACGTTTCCCGTTTAAGTACACCTCAACCAGATTAGGTTGGACGTGATGATATTATGGTAACTGGCGTCTTCCATGCTTGCCTGAACTGTAGCCTTACTCCATACTGGAGTCGGTTATGTACAAACGGGGCAGTACAAAGTACGAGGTCTTGGCAATTCTTATTACGATCGTGCAGTATGTTGATAGTAAAGGAAAGACTTCCGCCCGTATCCCCTCTTAAATGGCTTCTAGTCAAATCATATTACTAAAATATACATATTCAATAACCAATATTTAGTCGGTTGCGACACCTAACAAAAACGAGGCACCATTTAATTGGTCACGTGATACTGGGAAAGTGTAATATCAAATATAACATTTGTAACATTTAATTACATTTCTTCCTAACAACAACTAGGCAACATTTAATTTTTGCGTGATACTGGGAAAGTGTAATATCAAATATAAAATTTGTAACATTTAATTACATGTCTACCTAACAACAACTAGGCAACATTTAATTGTTCACGTGATACTGGGAAAGTGTAATATCAAATATAACATTTGTAACATTTAATTACATGTCTACCTAACAACAACTAGGCAACATTTAATTGGTCACGTGATACTGGGAAAGTGTAATTTCAAATATAACATTTGTAACATTTAATTACATGTCTACCTAACAACAACTAGGCAACATTTAATTGTTCACGTGATACTGGGAAAGTGTAATATCAAATATAACATTTGTAACATTTAATTACATGTCTTCCTAACAACAACTAGGCAACATTTAATTGTTCGCGTGATACTGGGAAAGTGTAATATCAAATATAACATTTGTAACATTTAATTACATGTCCGTCTGTAGAATCTGTACCTACCTATATTCCCTGCATTAGACACACGAAAACCATGGAATCCTAGAATGGACATTTTCGCCCTTGCAAACGCAGGCAATGAAGCCTCAAAATTGACTAAATATTGTAACTCTAAATATCAGGATAGCAGTGAAATCGAGGACGAAATTAGTTTTCTTGTTAGTTGTCCTCGTTATTATTTAGGCCTGACTTAGTATTTACAGCATCCATGGAGATCCTGGTTAGAATTTGATAATGATTTATATCATTTGTATCCCCTGTATCGGGGTTTGAGTGAGTGAGTGAGTTTAGTTTTACGCCGCACTCAGCAATATTCCAGCTATATCGCGGCGGTCTGTAAATAATCGAGTCTGTCGGGGTTTGAGAATAACGCTGACCTAGTTGCTTGCTAAACATTAATCCCCTCCCAATTCCGCATAAGTTGACCTAAATAACTGATCTTCTTCTTCGATGTATCCCCTCTATCGGGGTTTGAGCATAACGCTGACCTAGGTGCTTGCTAAACATTAATCCCCTCCCAATTCCGCATAAGTTGACCTAAATAACTGATCTTCTTCTTCGATGTATCCCCTGTATCGGGGTTTGAGCATAACGCTGACCTAGGTGCTTGCTAAACATTAATCCCCTCCCAATTCCGCATAAGTTGACCTAAATATCTGATCTTCTTCTACGATGTATCCCCTGTATCGGGGTTTGAGCATAACGCTGACCTAGGTGCTTGCTAAACATTAATCCCCTCCCAATTCCGCATAAGTTGACCTAAATATCTGATCTTCTTCTTCGATGTATCCCCTGTATCGGGGTTTGAGCATAACGCTGACCTAGGTGCTTGCTAAACATTAATCCCCTCTCAATTCCGCATAAGTTGACCTAAATATCTGATCTTCTTCTACGCTGTATCCCCTGTATCGGGGTTTGAGCATAACGCTGACCTAGTTGCTTGCTAAACATAAATCCCCTCCCAATTCCGCATAAGTTTACCTAAATAACTGATCTTCTTCTTCGATGTAGGTTATCATTCCGTATCATTCATTGTTATCATGATGTATGTATAGGTTGTCATCTATAGTAAGATACATGATTAGTATGTAAGCTGGATTATAATTCTGTTATAATAATCACTATCGATGCTTTCATTTACACCATTATGTGCATGCTGCCGTATGTTCTTATTCGTTGCAATAACATGTCACGATATTTGTTATATTGAACGTTCTTGTAATGTGTGTGTGCATGCACGGGCGTTTCATGCGTTTTGACACCTTTATTGCCATCACGTCAAGGTGAGGTGAGGGGAGGTGAGGGGAGGTGAAATTGGGTTGAACGTCGTGCTTGAGAATAGTTCGCTCATATGACGACGTGCATGCGTGTGTATGTGTATGTGCGGCTGCTTGTACTAGCCCAGACTGAAGCTGGTTTTATAGTGCTATGCTCACTGAGATACCATGCCGCAGTGAAGCATGAATACCCCACTCAGACACATTTTACTGACTCCGAGCCGACCAGTCTATGTTGTACCCATTAATGTCGAGCGCCAGGCAGGGACCAACAAGTACCATATTTTAACGTCTTTTCGTATGACGCGACCGGGGATCGAACCCGCGACCTTCCGCTCTCCGGGCGGGCGCTCTAACCACTACACCACGGAGGCGGTCCCATCACGTCAAGAAGGAAATTCGTGTTGTGTCATTATTTCATGGATTTCTTTGTAAATGTACTATTATACACTGCTGAAATACACACATATTGTACATTGTAGAACTATCATAATTCTATTACATCATCAGTTCATGACCTCACAATGCTTCAAATGACATCACTAAGAACACAGTTGACAATGCTACATAGTTGATGACATCACAATGCCATGACCTCACTGAGATCACTGCTAAAGAAGCCTAATGGCAGTTTGGTGTTCAGATAAAGTCATTCTTTTACTGATAACTGATGAAGAATTAATTATTTTGGATGATAAATAATATCTCACCCTCGTGTCTTCTGATATCAAATATACCAACACTCCTTGATTAAAGTAAAAAGTTGCAACTTTAATCAACTCGTGTTGATATATTTGATATCAGAAGACACGAGGGTGAGATTATCTATATAACTCTGACGTACAACAAAATATAAATCACCTTCGAATTCCACATAATTATATCCGAGTCTCACCGGAGCCAAAAGGTTTTACGGATGTGAAATTACTTTTTCTTCAAATGGTTGTAAACATTGCATCACATTAGACATAAAAACAACGGAAATTGCAGCAGTGAAATACTAGAGTTATATTACTCTTATATCAAGACATACATACAATAACTAGGATAATTAAAATAAGTTTATGTAAATTTAAAGTATGCAGTGTTTGATTATGATCCACATGTTTATTTTCTATTAAAGAGACAACTGAAACAACTATTGCATACCCAATAGGATTGGGGCGGTGGGGTAGCCCAGTGGTTTAAGCGTACGCTCGTCAAGCCGAAGACAGGGGTTCGATTCCCCATAAGGGTACCATGTGTTAAGCCCATTTCTGGTGACCCCACAGTAATATTGCTGGAATATTGCTAAATGCGGCGCAAAACTAAACTCACTCATCCAATAGGATCATGCACTCCATCAAATGAGAGGAAACATGATACGTCATCTCAGCCAAAGAAGGCAAATTCGAGTGCCTGCAGCTGGCAATATGATGGGCGTTGTGGGCGAGCTGGCTAAGGCGCCAGGCTAGTGATCCAGCGAGCTTGAGGTGCCGGGATCGAGCCCACCTGTGACCGGGTGTAATAAAACCATTGAGTCAACTTTGTGTGCAGACTCTCTCAGGTCTCCTTTGTTACCAGTTGATTAAATGATTCAAAGTTTCTGTTTGACCATTACTGACCATCATAAATGTACAGCATGTCAAAGCTTTGTGAAACACCAAACAACATCGTAGCCATGTGACGAATGATTCCCGGGCTAGCGTCTTACTGAAATAAGTATTCGAGAAACATCTTGATCCTCAAGATAGATCGTTGTACTTTCTCTCTCTTCTTCGAATACTTGCCTGTATGAAGCTGATATGAGTATTGAACCTGACTCTTGTGCAGCGTTGGGTTTAATATGCAGTACATACACGATAGATTACAAAATCAAATATAATATGCACAGGGGATAAGATTTTAATCAGTAAAATAAAAAAGGTCAACACAGCAAATTGAAAAGAGGAAATTCATTTATATCACAGGTAATCATGAAGCGTTCATTTCCAATTTGACGCATTATTGACCAAAATACCTCAATTCCCTATGTTGACTTCAGTCATGTTCCCGTGTTTTCTCAGGTGAACAACTGACTTGCCTTTTCGTGTGTTTATGACGTTTACCATAGGTAGGCCGAGCTACGTTAATCTTTACAGGTACACTGGGTATCACAATTATTTGGTTGATAAACATATGTCACGAAGCTGTGCCTCTGAGACAAAGGTGTTGATAAAATTGGTACAATAACACAGTTCTATTATTATTGATTCGAGAAAAGTTAAACAAACAAACAAACAAACACATCTTGACTTGTATCCAGAAAATGGTCCGTGACAGTGCAGATAAGATTAGCTGTTTACTATATAGTCTTTAAAGTAAAAATAAATAGTTTAAATGCAATTTCTAAAAAACTATGAATAACAGACTGGCGTCCTTGTACTGTCCGCTAATCTAGACTTGCCTCTTTAAAGGATAGAATTACTATACATCCATTCAGTAAATCCTTGGAGCAAGGCTATGAAATATACACCCGAGCTTATACGCTTTGTGCATTAAAACCAGAGGTAAGCCAGAGCAAGAGCCAAGCTGACCCATATTTCCCGACTTGTGAGACTAAGTTTCGACCCACCAGCCAGCAACAGAATGGTGTAAAGGGTCCTGGGACCTTAATGTAAACAACTACATACCCACTGCCTAACAATTTATATCCCCATCCATTGATACTATAATAAAACATGGTTTGGTACTCTACATTAAAATAGAATACTAAATCACATCATCATTGCCGCGAAGAGACATATTCACATATTCAGCATTAAATATATGCTTCCAAATCTAACTTTATATATAAAAACTCTAAAGGAAATATACTTTGTGAAAATCATATATCAACAAAAATAATAAAATAAATAATTTCAATCACAAATGGAGCTTTCTATCCCCAGACTTAGATGACTCTAAACTGTATCGATTTGTACCTGACATAATCTGTACGTTTATTGGCAAAGATTTATGCATGTTTATGAATATATTAATATATTAATATCATACCTGTAAATCATGTACCAGCTTCAGTTAAAGCCGTATTTATCACGGCTTTGTATATCTGTGATATTATAATCTTGGGAACCAATAAAAATATATAAACATTTTTTTTTTAAACTACGTACTCACTACCTAAGCTAAACAATGATGTAGTACACTTCGTTTTTTAAATTGTACTTGGTCGTTTTACTCGCCGCGTAACTCACTAGCTCACATACAGAATCGCATATGTAAACATTGCAATTTAACTGATATTGAAGAAGAATGCCATTTCTTAATTGCCTGCCGACACTCTTCCCATTTAAAGGTACGATCCTCTCTGTAGGCCGGTAAATGTGAACCTAGTTTCTCTGCTATGGACCCAATATATTACTTTCCCTCATGAGAAATGATCTGTTCAAGCCTTAGATAGAAAACCGTAACTTACTCTATATTTATACATGCGTGTATTTAAATGGCTAAAAACAGATCAGGGATGTTTACATAGTGCGAGTTAATCCCGAGAAGATCAAAGTTACTAAAATGTTTTCAACAACTGAATGAACTATACTTGAAGTTGTACAATGCACAAGCTTTCAGAAGAGATTTCTTATAAGTACAGATTGTTTCTCTTGTTATCAAGCTACTGCACATATGGTAAAAGTAGAATTATCTCTTTGTTCTTTATTTGTAGAGTGACTTCGCCACTTCCGAAAAAGTTGAAAATGTGTTACACACTTAAAAAAACAACGAGGTTAATATATGAAGGTTCATATTATATATGAATATGCTGCTAGGAAAAGACTATTGATATTTGTGTCCAAATGGAGGACTTCTCGGAACCGTTTTGCGATTTCCCATTTCAGAGAGGCTCGTCAAAGGGGTATTCTGAGTGACCTTTACATCTGAAATGAAAAGTTTTCTTTTGGATCAAAGGCACAATAAAAAGATACTTCAGAGTGTTCAAGAATCTCAGTTGAAAAAGAACATATCTCGTTTTTTTCAGAAATGACCATTACCATATTCATTGCAACAGATGTGTTGGGGTAACCCAGTTGCTCATCACCAGAAAATGGATGGAAACCAATAATTTCAAATTTTGTGACACAACAATGTGTAAGCTTGGTTCTGGTGCCTCCCGTCGTGATGTTGCTGGAATATTTCTAGATGTAGAAGAACAACATATTTGTTATGGAACCAAACACATTGATCATGTGTGAACGAAGAGGGAAAATGTTTTATGTTTTTTAAAACATGACTAAAACTGAACTTACTCCAAGCCGGTAAAAAAACGCAGTTTCTTGTCTTGAGCTGAAAGCTTTGACATATCATCACCAGACAGTTCGAAGTCGAAAACCTTTGAAAAGTAAGAGAAGAGCTTGTTTTACAAATTCCCCTTCGAGACATATTTGTGTTTAAAAAACAGACAGTGAGTCACTTACGTTTCCATTTTTATTAAAATTTTCGAAAACAAAATTGACACTTTGACAAATCAACTTATAATTGCTTTCAGATGGAAATGGGATGAAGGAATGAACAATACCTTCACGTTTTCCAGAATTCTTGAAGGATTGCTGCTCTTCGGGATAACAATGATGCCTCTTTGGACGAGATAGCGGAGGAGAATCTGCATAAATAATAAACTGATAATTAAAATGGATTCACATCGGCCGCGCTTTCCATATCACAACAACATGCACATATATGGACGTCATCATTCTGATGTCAGTGTAACATACCTGTCCTTCAGATCTTTTATACTTTGTGGCCAGATCCTTAGCAACTGGGTCATCTAGAACTCTGGGAGCTCCTTCCTTCAGTCTGGGTACAAGGCGTGGACAATCATGTATTAGTAAACATGATTGATAGGAAATGAAAGAAAACGTAACACTTTATACATAGCATCCTTTTGTGTTGACTGCGTAAAATAAACTACGTCACAAGTGAGGTGAGTATGAGTGATAGGGATGGTGGTTGTGGGAGGATAAGGATGAAGATGTAATGATGTGATTTTGTAACGTTATACTTTCTGTGTATGAAGTGGTAAAGTGGTGGTTTACAAAGTTTCAATGGCATCGTTCCATATCGCTCATAGTCTCTCTTCTTTAAAGGACCATATTGTCAATGTACTGCATTAATTCAGATACAACAAATCAAAATGACTTTACAACTAGAATCATATGGGTTTAGTCACTGTTGTTCAGTTAAGATTCTTACATGTGAGCTGGTCGAGTTGGTGAACCGAGAGGGCTGTAGGCTGTAACAGTTATCCCCTTTTCCTTGAGAAACTGAAACAGCTTTTCTTGCTGGAGATACAAATGACACTCAACCTGCAAATGTGAAAGTTCCAATAATGTTTATCTTATCTAACGTGGTATAAATGACATAGTGTACTGAATATTCATATTACTTGTTCATTGTGTATTATTGTGATATCTTTCCAAATCTGACACGACAGAGACAATAATTTCCTATTTTGACTTGTACCATACAGGGATTTCTCATAATTGTTGAAAGAGTTTGCATAATGCTCAATAGGACCAATGAAGGCTGAGGCATTGTTCCTCCTCGAGGAATAACGTTCGTTTTTCCCTCAAAACACAAATTGATGTTATTGAAAGATAATACGGCAGAAACGTATTATGGTGATAAAAGAAACATCATAGTAATTAGTGGAATCATTAGAGGAATCAGTAGAAAACCAAGTGTGAATCCTCTAATGGTCCACATATTTGTGGTGATTTCAACAGTCATAATGAATTGTGGGGCAGTGATAAATAAGATGGGATGATAATGAATTGGTTGTCCTAAATAACGGAAAAAAGACCAGAATGGATCCCGGAAGAGGGACATTTACTCCTTCAGATCTATCTGTGGGTTGCTCAAATATGTGTAACTGGGATATTTTCCATGATGATGAGGTAACACTAAAATGATTTCTGGGGCGGTGGGGTAGCCTAGTGGTTAAACCGATCACTCGTCACGCCGAAGACCCGGGTTCGATTCCCCACATGGGCACAATGTGTGACGTTCATTTCTGGTGTCTGCCGCCTTGATAATCCATGAATAGTGCTGAAAGCGGCGTTAAACCAAACTCACTCACTCACCTCAATGATGATGCTTGGCAGTATTCATTTCGCAGTGTTTGCAGTCCAACGCCGAGGGCCCGGGTTCGATTCCCCACATGGGTACAATGTGTGAAGCCCATTTCTGGTGTTCCCCGCGGTGATATTGCTGGAATATTGCTAAAAGCGGCGTAAAACTATACTCATTCACTCATTCATCTACAAACATCGTTTAGGCCAATATATTTTATATACTCTTCAAAAAAAGAAACTTCCCATAGGAACAATTTGAATTTTTGAAAGATATTTGAGAAAAACCAATCCATTCTGAATCCTAACATGTGGAGGCATGGTTGCCGCCGACCAAACATTTTGAAATAAGAAACGTTGAACAAGAACGTAACGTTACACTCACGTTTGAAGTGAATCGTTAAAACGCACCCTACATGAAATGCACGTGCTTCATGAAATTGTATATCACCCTCAGCCGAACCCTATGACTGTAGGCTTTAAAAGCCACATCAACAGTACTCCACATGCATTGCTTTAAGCCAAGACTGACAGAAGCCCAACGACACAACGCCATCGGCCGTTTACAAGGAGGGACATCACAGCATGAGGTGGCAAGGCACTTCGGCGTGTCCGGATAAACCATCTCAAACCTATCGACCCTACACAACAATACTGGGAGTGTTAATGACAGACCCAGGTCAGGTCGACCTTAAGTTACCACTGCCGCCCAGGATCACTACATCCGGTAGAAACATCTTCTTCGTTCACGCACCACGACCGCAACATCCACAATAACCCAAATCCCTGGACTGCGCCGAATCGCCGACCAGTTAGTGCGCAATCGGCTACGGGAAGCCGGACGTTTTGCCAGAAGACCAGTTCGATGTAACATCTTGACACAACATCACCGGGCTGCACGTCTACAAGACAATGATTGAGATGGCCGCGGGCAAGATGGAGGACAATTTTGTTCTCAGATGAGTCTCGGTTTCTTTTCTCAGACGTGCTGATGAACGTCCGCGTGTATACAGACGTCGGAATGAACGTTACGTCGATAACTGTGTACAGAAGGTCGATAGACCTGGTGGTGAAAGTGTCCTGGTGTGGACAGGTATCCATCATAATGGCCGGACAGCTCTTGTGCACGTGGCAGATGCATTGAATGGGGTTCGCTATAGAGACGAGATTTTGCTACGTCACGTCGTTCCCTTCATCAACGTCAACGGTGGATCTTTCCAGCATGACATGCTCAACCTCACGTTGCACGTCTTTGCCAGCAAAACAACGTTCAGGTGTTACTATGGCATCTTCGATCAAACGACCCCACCCCCTCCCCCTCCCTCTGAACATCTGTGGCATATACCTGATCGACGCTTGGGCCAGCGTAATCTGTTGTGTTAGAACGGACTTAACACACTTCAACATTATTAACTCTTGAAATTCTAAAAACATTCAGCTTCTTTAACATTCAAAATAATTCAAGTTCAATCTTTGTTTTCAGCAACCTAACATATTAATGGAAACAATTTCAGACTTTAACACTGAGACCAGTATATTACTAGATTATCAGTCACTGATATTTCCAGGTGGTCTCGATATTCTGCCAGCTCTGGTTTTATACACATCACCAGATGGTGTTGTCAGGACAGGCGGCTTTACAGCTGTTTGTTCCTCGTCAGACTGTTGTGGGAGAAAGTTATCTTTCCTGTTTCTTCGATATGTCCCTGATTCTGTTTCCACTTTGTATGACCGAGGTGCCAGTTGTTTCAAAACAGTTACATGTTCACCTCTATCAGGTCACCATGTATTATCTCCCTTTTCAAGCACAGGGAGAGGACGGGCTGCATGGTGTTTGTTGAAGTTGTGCCGTGTAGATTCACGCTGGGACAGTTCATGATTCATGATCTTTTCCTGATTTGGTAGACTTGATTTCAGTCTGTCCGATACCATGGGTACCTTGGTATGTAGACAACGTGACATGACATGGGCTGTATCCGTAACTCAGGGTAGTTGAACGATAGTTCATGAGAGCCGCATAAGGATCTTCTGCTGCCTTCAAGAGTGTTTTGACAGTTCTTACCCCACGTTCTGCTTCGCCGTTTCCTGAAGCAATACCAGGACTGCTTGTGATGTGACAGAAACCATATTCTCCACTGAATTTAGCCAGTTCTGCTGACGAATACTGAGGGCCGTTGTCAGACACAAGAGTTTCAGGAACACCATGGCATGCGAAAATGCTCTTGAGATGATTGATGGTCTCTCTTGATGTTGTACTGGTGAGTCTTGCTATTTCGATGAAGCGGGAGTGATAATCAATAACCAGAAGATACGGTTGTTTCTTGAGTTCGAAAAGATCTGTTGCAACTTTTTGCCATGCTCGCTCAGGCATTTCAGATGGTACGAGAGACTCTAGGTGATTTTCAGCTTTCTTACATCACACATGACACTTTGCAACAAATTCGCCAATTTGTTTACTGAGATTAGGCCACCACACACTCTGCTTGGCGCGTTCACGGCTTCGTTGGTACTTGGTGACCCTCATGTAGTGTCTCGAGGCTGCTGGGTCGCATAGATGCTGGTATGATGATTCTCTCACCGTAGTGTAGAAGATCGTTGCATATGCTGATGTCCGCTTTGTATGACCAGTAATGGGATATGATTCCTTTCGACTGATGTCTTTCTGGACAACCTTCCTCACAACACCGTCTTATCTGTCTGCAGATGTCGTCTTCGTGTTGGTGACATCTGATGTCGTCCATCTTCTTGCCTGAGGCTGGAAAAGTAATGCTGTTGACATAAGCTTCAACTTCATGTTGAAAATTTAAATCTTGTTCTAGTTGACCCTTCTCAGGAGCACAAGAGAGAGTGACCGCTGTGTCGAGTTCACTTCCTGGTACGTGTTTGATGGTGTGCGCAATCCTCATCAGTCTCATCCGAAACCGTTGAACTCTGGGTGGTAATGTATCAAGATTTTTTACACCTAGGAGAGGTACTAAGGGTTTTTGGTAAGTTTCCAATACAAACTGAACACCTGGAATCTCTCACAAGCCCATTTGAGAAAAAGTGCTTCCTTTTCAATTTGAGCATAGCAGGTTTCCGTATCGGAAAGAGAGCAAGATCTGAAGGCCACTGGTTTCAAAGCTTGCTTGTGTTGTTGCATCAAGACAGCTCTCAATCCGTAAGATAAAGCATCCGCAGTTACCATTCCTGGAACGTTTGGATTGTAGATTGCGAGACCCGTGCTACTACTGACAGCTTGCTTGATTCTTGAAAGAGCAGTTTTCTGTGGATCGTCCCAGTGGCATGCATTCTTCTTGTTAAGAAGATCTCGGAGAGGCTTGGTCAAATCTGCTACGTTAGAGATAAACTTGCCAAACTGATTTACTATCCTTAGAAACCGACGTAGATCAGAGATATTTTCTGGTTTCGGCAGATTCATGATAGCAGAAATCTTCTGCTCGCTTGCTTTTCTGCCCTTTTCGCTGATAGACTGACCGAGGAATTCAACTTCTTTCTCTCCGGATACACACTTATCCTTGTTGAAGGTGATCCCTGTCTTGTGAAGAGAGGAGAGAGTGTGTCTAACACGTTCATCATGTTCAGCATCGGTAGAACCATAGATGAGAAAGTCGTCCATAATTCCGTCATGACCTTCTAGAGCTTTGGAGACCTGTTTCTGGAAATAATCAGGAGCAGAAGTAATTCTGAAGGGTAGTCTTTTGTAGCAATATCTTCCGAAAGGTGCGATGAATGTTGTTAAGAACAATGACTGTTCTGTTAACCTCACCTGATGGAATCCTGAGTTGGCGTCGATTTTAGAGAACACTTTGACATCCTTGAGCTGACCATCCATTTCACCTAGACCTGTAAATAGACCTGGGAACACGGTTAACATATCCTGTTTAGTTACAGATGCGCAGAACTGAATAAGTCCTAGACCTTCACAAGCATCGCAACTCAAGAGTAAATGGCTACTCTCTGTTAAAACATGGAATGTTTCTTGTACAGACTTATCTTTGTGTTTCACTGTAGCATTGAAGCATCCCACGAAGTCCAGCTGAATTCCTCGAAAATTCTCCTGGGCTTCTGTAGCTCTCTGTTTGGAAATAATCTCTTGAATACTTCTTTCGAGATTCACATCAGCTCCAGTGTCAGCTTTTAGGGAGATGGGTGTTTCGTCGACTAACAGTTGAAAGATGCGCTTGACATCACGCTGAGGACTGGTACTGCTGACACGACCGATGAACACTGTTTCC